TTTACTGTCCCTTTTTCCCCCATCCTTTTCCCCCCATCCTGTTCTGACACATGCAGGGTGTCTGTAAATGCTTTCATTTTTCTTTCCAGGTTTACCGAAACCGCAAGTGGCGTCCCATTTCCAGCGATGAGATTATTCCAGGGGACATTGTTTCCATTGGTAATGATTTGCACAATGGTTAGAAACAAACATTTGTTTAAAAATCAGATTTTTTTTTTCTGGTGTATTAAGTTAAGCAGCCAATTGAATTTGGCATAAAAATAACAGTCTTGGTTGAATGGTTTTGAGGATTTTGATTTGTTGGTGTCGTGATTCAAGGATCCAAGAGGTTAATCCTCAGGCTGGATCTCTTGGACCTGTCTTAAAGGTAAATACCTGGATAAATCAACCTCAGATTCTTCATTTTGAAGGTGAAGAATTCCTTATTTTCCTGACAATATCTTCCTAAAATGGAAAAAGGGGAAGGGCAGGTCACTCTCTTAACCCTGCTCTCCTTTTTAAGGTTGCATTACCCCAGGATTTCATCCCAATCTTTGAAGCCTGAATGACCATGAAAACTAAATAACTTGATTTTAAAGACTTTTCCTTGTCTCAACAGACACTTAATAAACTTTTAAATCCTTTTGATTCTCAGCAATGCTGAGTGGGGACGTGCTGTGGTAGATTTGACAGCCCTGTGGGAGGTTTGAAGCTTTAGGAATCTCCTGTATCTCAGTTAAATTGATGGGAGAGCCGTTCCCCTGCCAAGACAAAGAGCCAAACAATAATCACTTCTGCCTTGAAGCTGCTTCTCACTTTTAATCTCTTAATTACAGGTCGATCTCCTCATGAAAATCTAGTGCCCTGTGATGTGCTGCTGTTACGTGGGAGGTGTATTGTCGATGAAGCTATGCTGACAGGAGAGTCTGTGCCCCAAATGAAGGTCTGTGAAACATCCTCTGTGCTGTCCTTCTGCTGCAACCTAGGAAAGTAAAAATCTTCTATATTAATTTGCATCTGTGAGTGCAAATTAAATCTCTGTGTGTGAATCCTGGCCAGAGCAACCTGCTGTGTTTGTTATCAGCTCCCTTATCAGTGATTGATGGTCTCTGGTAAATGAGAAACAGAAATGTCTTGTTTTGTCTGGCGATGTCTCCAGTTTTTGGGTCTGAACTCTGTCATCTGGGCATGGCATCGCTCTCCTCCACATTCCCCAGTCTGGATTCCTTTGGCTGGGTAAAGGTGGGAGGAGGAACAAGTGTAAAGCACTTCAAAACTCCGAATCTTCCTTCTTTTTCTGCCAGTGGGTGATTTAAAAATGATAAAAGTAATATTTGCAAAGCCTCCTTTGTTGAATTCAGTGTGCCAAGGGTGAACTAGTCCCACAAAACCAGCATTTCCACAGATGCCAGGCTCTGAACTGAGACTGATCAGGAGCTGAGTGGGTTTTGTTAAGGTTTAGATTCAGTTCAGGCCACTTTTGGTTGAGGGGAAGCTGAGAGCATCTTGTGGGATAAGTTTATTCATTGCTAATTGTGAATCTGAGAGCTCAATGTTGTCCTGCAGGAACCCGTGGAAGATCTCAGTCCAGAGCACGTCTTGGACATGCAGACAGATTCTCGTTTACACATCATATTTGGGGGAACAAAAGTGGTTCAGCACATACCACCCCAGAAAGCCAGCACAGGACTGAAACGTATGTACCTGCATGAATTCTCTCTCTCAGTGAGAGAAAATCTACCCACAGATTTATTTTAAGTGGCTTTGATGCAACTTTTGGAGGATGACGTTCAGTCAGTCCCCTCAACCCTGTCAAAACAATTTACTTTGGAATATCACAGAGGTCTAATAATCAATTAAAGTGGATTATTCCCCCTTGTAAGTGAGAGGAGGGTTTAGCTTCAAGTGCATTCTGTCTGTGATAAACCTCTAAAAGATGTATTTAACATCCATTTTACATCTTGCTGTCTTCATTCCTACTCCAGCTGTCGATAACGGGTGTGTGGCCTACGCTCTGAGGACCGGCTTCAACACATCTCAGGTAAGATGTCAGCAGGGGAGATGCCTTCTCACCTCTGTCACCTTCAGGGCTTCGCTGTCAAGAAGTCCTCCTGAAATAGAGCAGTGGGAAAATAGAAATGAGGGTGTTAAAATGGCTTTTAAGTTTGTTTGGAAGAGGAATAAATAAGGTTGGTCTCTTCTCTGTGTGTTAAATAGTCTGATGGTTGATGCAGAAGCCTGGCAGTCAGGATTTAGGGTTCCTGTTGTGACTGACCACACTATGGATGTACTTCAGCTCCTAGTTATCCCCATTTCCTTAATGATAATTGTTGGAAAAAAGGCAGTTTAGTGTGTTTGTAGAGACTTGGAGATGTGAATGTGAGCTTTTTCAGTTGAAAATTGAAGACTGCTTCAAAGAAATCGTTGATTTAATGACGTAGCAACAAGTTTGAGGTTTTTTAAACATTAATTCTGGGTGATTTTAGGCTGCTGCAGGTTGCAGAATATTAAGAGGATTGCAGAAGTGGGAATAATTTTCAGGCTCTGGCACCAAAACACCAGAGCCTAATTTAAAAATTAGGTTTCATAGATGTTTTTTTTTTAACAAACTACTGCATGCTGCAGAGATAGCTTCATGCACTGAAGACTGTTCTTCTCAGGGGAAATTGCTCCGTACAATCCTCTTTGGGGTGAAGAGAGTGACAGCCAATAACTTAGAGACCTTCATTTTCATCCTGTTCCTGCTGGTCTTTGCCATTGCTGCTGCAGCATACGTCTGGATTGAAGGTGAGATTTCTTCTTGCCTCTTCCAGGTCTCTACCCAGGAACTTGTACTTATGGGAAGGACAATTGACCTAATTTCTTGAGAGTTACAATAGCTGGGTTGGGCTGCACCAGTGGTTCAGTGTAGGGACCCACACTACATTCTGGATGTTTTTCTTGCCCTCCCACAGCCCTTGCTAGGTAGGTGTGCTTCTTTGAGATCCTCAGTTCTATGGGGCACACAGTCTGAGGATGAGGAGGTAGAAAAGTCTCTGATCTCATTCCATAGGCACCAAAGATCCTAGCAGGAACCGTTACAAGCTCTTCTTGGAGTGTACTTTAATATTGACTTCGGTTGTTCCACCTGAACTTCCCATCGAGCTCTCTCTGGCTGTCAACACCTCCCTCATTGCTTTGGCTAAGCTTTGTAAGTACCAAACCTAAGTATAGAAACAAAGATCAAACTGTTTTCTTCAGCCTGGAACTGTGTGTGTGTGGGGGTGGCAGGGGGGGGTTTGATGTTGATGAGGAAATTGAGTGTGAAATTACTCCAATCTCCTCAGTTTGCACACAGTGACAGGATGGGTTTTGGAGCTGGTAGACACAAGGGGGTTTAAAATCCTGAAGAATTTAGGAGGTGTGTGCTTTGTAGTGAGTTCTAAAGGGTAGGAGGGAATATATTCATATGAAAACCTGCAGTTGAGCAGGTTCCTATATATGGAATAGGGAGATCAATGATTTCTGTGTTGAACTACGTCGCTGCTACAACTGAGTGTCTGAAAGAATTCAGAATGGGGAGTTTGGGCTTCATTAACTAGCTGAAAGCTCCTGTCTCGTGATAAAAACCACTGAGCATCCTCTCCTGGCTTGGTTGTAGCTCATCTCTTACAGAATTTCCTCTCCTCTCTTCTAGATGTGTACTGCACGGAGCCCTTCCGCATCCCCTTCGCAGGCAAAGTTCAAGTTTGCTGCTTTGACAAAACTGGGACGTTAACCAGCGATCACCTCGTGGTGAGAGGAGTAGCTGGGCTCAGGTAGGTCCTGGGGTGATTTTTGTTCTATGATTTGCTCTATGATCTGGGCTTTGGACACTGTGGGAACTCCTCAGGAAATTACATTGTGTTGGGGAAGAGAAGATAATCAAGGATTCATAGACTGGTTTGGATTGGAAGGGACCTTAAAGATCATCCAGTTCCAACCTCCCTGCCAGCAGCAGGGACACCTTCCACTAGACCAGGTTGCTCAAAGCCTCATCCAGCCTGGCCTTCAACACTTCCAGGGAGTGAAAGAAGTGGATTGAGCTGGAAGGAGAGAGGGTTGTGGGTCTGTGGCAATGACTGTGGGCTCAGGATTTGTGTATTTAATTGTCTTGGGGGACTTTTTGCGTTGGGTTTTCATGTAACCGAGATCTTCACTTGCTCCTCCATCCTGCCTTCTCCTTCCACTGCCTGTCCTTGAAAGCTGGATGCTGCAGCAGAGAGACATCTGAGTCCTTGGATTGATTCTACAGTTATTTAAATGTGTTAGTTCAGGCTTCTACTTCAAGTGTTCTGCTTGAATCGTGTTTGTTTTGGAGGACTGGCCAAAATTATGGGCTTTGGCACCGTCTGCAGTTGAGACAGCGCCAGATTTCCTGTGGCTTTGATCCTCACCCTGAGAAGCTTCACTGTTTACTGGATTTAGAGTAGGAATTTTTGACTGGGAAAAATTCCAGAATTTCTCTTAGAGAATGTGAATGGGATCTGTTAACATGGACAATCTCTTTTTTTTTTTAATTATCATTATTATTTATGCTGCAGGGATGGGAAGGAAGTGACCCCAGTATCTGACATTCCTGTAGAGACCCACCGAGCCATTGCTACTTGCCACTCGCTTGTACAGCTGGATGATGGGACACTGGTGGGAGATCCACTGGAGAAGGCAATGTTGATGGCTGTGGATTGGACCCTGACCAAAGGTAAAACTTGTTTCCAGCTCCTCCCTGGTTGATACCTGACTTTGTTTACATACACTGTAGGTTGTGGGGTGGTTTTTGTGGAGGGGGTGATGGTGATAACGCTGGTTTTGTCAGTTCTGAGCATGAAATTAATTCTCTAGTCTGTAGAGATTTCCTGTGCTTCATGCCAGCTTTCTGCAAGGAGTAAATTCCACCTGGTGGCATCCCAGGAACTGGTTTGGAGCAGTGGAAATCCTTCTGCTGCGTGTCTGAGGGACAATAAATAGTAGAAATCTGTTCTCAGGACTGCAGATGCTGCATTCTGCAACTGCCATGCTCAGGTTGGTGTCTTTTAGCTCTGCCTCAGTAAAATCACAAATGGCAGCAGTGAAAACATGACAGTGTGGGGTTTAGAATCATAGAATGGTTTGGATTGGAAGGGACCTTAAAGCTCATCCAGTTCCAACCCCCCTGCCAGCAGCAGGGACACCTTCCACTAGACCAGGTTGCTCAAAGCCTCATCCAGCCTGGCCTTCAACACTTCCAGGGAGGGGGCATCTACAACTTCCTTGGGCAACCTGTTCCAGTGTCTGACCACCTTCACAGTGAAGAACTTCTTCCTAATATCTCATCTAATAGATTTAGTCTACGAGCAGCCTCTCTTGAGGCTTTCTGCTCTGCTTTCTTGACTTTCACAGGTAACCCAAGTAGAAATCTTCCAGAAATACTGTATTCCTGTCCCACCAAAACCCATGCTGGTGTGGTTTGGTTGGGTTTTTTTTTTTTTGCTTCTGGATTTTTACCTGCAATGAGAATGTGTGTTATAAATGCACCTTCATCCTGCTGTGGAGTTGTTCATATTCATGCACATAGATCAGTTTTATCCCTTAATTTTTTTAGCACTAGAATTTCCAGCTCTGTATGTTTATTATCTAAAGAAAGGAAATTCATATCATCTCAGTGACCTATGGGTTCCTTTGGGATCCCCAAGGGAGGGAATGTTACTTTTGATCCCAAGAAACCTTTCAGGATTTCCTGATCTCTTTGTTTCCAGATGAGAAAGTTTTCCCCAGAAGTATTAAAACTCAGGGACTGAAAATTCACCAGCGCTTTCATTTTGCCAGTGCCCTGAAAAGAATGTCTGTCTTGGCGTCGTACGAGAAGATCGGCTCGACTGATCTCTGTTACATTGCAGCTGTGAAAGGGGCCCCAGAGACCTTGCACAAAATGGTGAGCTCATCTTCTCTAGGAGAGGAAAGGAACCTTCTCTCTAGCACCTCTGCTCATCCCTTTTACACCTCTGCTTGTCCCTGTCAAGTCTGGAACCTGAATGACAATAGAGATTTCATCCTGTAAAACCTCTGCCTGAAAACACTCAATTTGGGGGGGGTTTCAGTCTAATCCCAGTGAGATTTTAATCTCTCACCGGATGCATTCCTGATCCTGTTGCTTTCCCTGACAGCAAAGGGATAAATCTGCAGGAATCTCCTTTTATTTTGATGGTGAGGGACCTTCCCCAAGTTGCTTCTTTTCCCCTTGTCTGCATATTGAATGTGAAATGCTGAATTGTGTTTGGAATTGTATTTAATCTGCTGCTTTTCCTCACACCTTCTCCAGTTATCTCAGTGCCCAAGCAACTATCATGCTGTCCACACAGAAATTTCACATGAGGGGGCAAGAGTACTCGCCCTTGGCTACAAAGAACTGGGGCACCTCACTCACCAGCAGGTATATCTGTCTTGTTGAAGCTTTGAAATTGGCACCTAGGAAAAAAACAGAGCAGGGAAGATTCTAAGTGATGCTTTAATTGCAAGGAAGCATCCACTGGGAAATGAGATGGCTGCTACAGAGCAGCAGGTAACACTCTGTTTGCTCATTTGCTTTGACAGGTGAGAGAGATCAAACGTGAAGCTTTGGAGTGTGATCTTAGATTTGTTGGCTTCATTGTGGTTTCCTGTCCTCTCAAAGCTGACTCCAAATCTGTCATCAGGGAGATCCAGAACGCCTCACACCACGTAAGTATCGGCATCATCCTCACCGTACTGGTAGCCACCGTGTTTGGGATGTGGAATTTTGATACCAGAAGCTTTTATGGGGTGAGAGCAAAGGCTTCCCCATGGCAAAAGCAGGGAGACCTTGTGGATTTGGTGTTATTTTTGTGGTGGGATTTGCCCTGGCCCAGAGAAAAAGCCTTTCTTGCAGGGTGCTGCACAGAGCTACATCTCATAGAGAACATCACCAGCATCCAAGCTGGGCAGATAACTTCTCAGTGTAAAGACTCACTGTGAAGTGCTGCTTTTCTACCCAGAACTGATTTTTTTTTGACCCTTTTCACTTTCCCCTCAGGTAGTGATGATAACAGGAGACAATCCTCTCACTGCCTGTCATGTAGCCCGGGAGCTACACTTCCTCCAGAGGGAACACACCCTCATTCTGCAGCCTCCTGCCACCAAAGGTAACTGATCCCCTGTAGGACATGGCTCTGGGGTTTGGAGAACAACCACCAAATGGTTGTTGTTCTCCAAAACCTCCTGGGATGTTGTATCAAAGTCAGACACGTGCTTTAGTGCTGCTGCTTGATGCTGATAAAGAAAACAACTCATTGCATTCCAGAGTCCCAGATAACCCCCTGTCCTTTGCCCTTCTCTTCTCTGGCTTGGGGTACATTCCTCTGCCAGCTCCAAAACAAAGCTCTCTGAACACCAAAATAACAGCAGCTTGAAGGCCTCCTTGCTGTGCAGGTTCAGAGACCATCCAGGGAAGCTCAGAGCCTGCAGGGAAGGAAGGTCCACATAAAAAACTGTACTTAGATGGGAAGTGGGCATGTCACTGTCCTGAGAAATCAAGGACATTGTGTCCATAATACTGAGGGGCTGCAAACACCAGGGTCAGTGTCTTGTTGGGTGTCAGTGTCTGGGAGCATTTCTCACCTCACAGGCATGCTCAGGTCAAGCTCACACTTCTCTTTCCAGACTCCAGCTGGCAGTGGCAATCTATCGACGGTGCTGTCGTGCTCCCACTCTTACCAACCTCCTTGCAAGAGTTGATGGAAGGATATGACCTTTGTGTCACTGGGGAAGGTCTTTCTCACCTCCAGTCTGTGAACAGACAGCAGCTGCTGAAACTCATACCACACATCCAGGTGTTTGCCAGAGTGGTGCCAAAGCAAAAGGTGAGAGATTTCTGCTGCTGGTAAAATCCCAGTTTGAGCAGAGTTCCCAGTGGGGCTCGTGTGGTGCCTGGGAGCTACAGAGATCATAGAGTGGTTTGGGGTTGGAAGGGACCTTAAAGCTCACCCAGTTCCAACCCCCCTGCCAGCAGCAGGGACACCTTCCACTAGACCAGGTTGCTCAAAGCCTCATCCAGCCTGGCCTTCAACACTTCCAGGGAGGGGGCATCTACAACTTCCTTGGGCAACCTGTTCCAGTGTCTGACCACCCTCACAGTGAAAAACTTCTTCCTAATATCTCATCTAAACCTCCCCTCTTTCAGCTTAAACCCATTTCCCCTTGTTTTGTCATTAGTTGCCCTTATAAAAAGTCCCTCCCCAGCTTCCTTGTAGGCAATAGATGCTGCAGATAATTTATGCCAGAGCTATTTTAAACAAAGCAGCGTCACCTCTCCCAATATCCAAGCCAGCAGGAAGGAAAAACCAGAGCTCAGGATGTGCCACGTTGGTATCCTCAAGTATCCTGAGCCCAGTTCTGGCTCTGCATTCCTAAACCAGACCTTAAAGGTGAAACTTCTGGAGTCTTTGAGTGTGAGGCCAACGAGTTCCTGCAGAAATTAACCAAGACACGTAACCCAAGTTGGACTGAAGCGGATCAGAACTCACAGGCTGCCCATTCTCACTCAGCCTTTCCTGTTACAGGAGTTTGTAATCACAACTTTGAAGAGCCTGGGCTACGTCACGCTGATGTGTGGGGATGGGACCAACGACGTCGGAGCTCTGAAACACGCAGATGTGGGTGAGTTGACCTGCAGGGCTCTCACATGTGCCTCTGGCTGAGTTTGGCTCATGTTCCTAAACACAAAACCAGTGTTTTCCTTTTTCTGGTGTTTTGAGGGATTGAGATTTAATCTGACCAATAACATTTGGTGGCAGAAACCAACATGAAGAAGAAGGATTCTCTTTGCTGGTGGAATATCTGCCCAGCAGGCAGTGGGAATGAGCTGCAAACACATTTTCCTGGAGGAAAGTTTCCTCCTAGTTCTTTTTTTTCCCCCTAAACTTTACTTCAGCAAGTGTCACATCTCTGAAGTCCCCACATAACTAACCTGCCCACCTGTCTCCAGGTATCTCCAAACATTCCCCTGCAGTCAATGTTTTTACACTCTTACAGGAGTGGCTTTGCTGGCAAATGCTCCTGAGAAACTGCCTGAAAGGAAGAAGAGAACTCGAGATGGACCCAGTGATGGGAGATTTGCTTTGCCCTCCGTGGGGAGTGGGACTGTGAAACCCACCTCCCGTGGTGCCAAGCACAGAGTCATGTCCCAAAGAGAGGAACAATTGGCCATCCAGAGGGTTGGTAACTAAATGTTTAAAAGTCCTTTAACTTCTCCTTCCTCTTTGATTGTGCCCCTGGACTGGGAATCACTGGTGAGGCCACACCTCAAGTGTTGGGTTCAGTTTTGGGCCCCTGACTCCAAGAAGGACATGGAGGTGCTGGAGCGTGTCCAGAGAAGGGCAACAGAGCTGGGGAAGGGTCTGGAGCACAAGGAGAAAAGGGTCTGGGGAATTTGGAGGGAAGGGTCTGGAAGAACTTAAGAGGAGCAGCTGAGGGAACTGGGGTTGTTGAGCCTGAAGAAAAGGAGGCTGAGGGGAGACCTTCTGGCTCTGTCCAGCTCCCTGAAAGGAGGGTGGAGAGAGGTGGGGGTGGGTCTGTTCAACCAAGGACCAAGTGACAGGACAAGAGGAAATGGGCTCCAGTTGTGCCCAGGGCAGTTGAGATGGGATGTGAGGAAGAATTTCTTTGCTGAAAGGGTTCTGAGGCATTGGAAGGGGTTGCCCAGGGCAGTGGTGGAGTCCCCATCCCTGGAGATGTTCAAAAACCATGTAGACCTGACACTTGAGGACATGGTTTAGTGGGACATGGTGGTGTTGGGTTGATGGTTGGGCTTGATGATCTTGAAGATCTTTTCCAACTTTAATAATTCCATGATAATTCATGACTAACTGGGAATAGCAGAATGTGCTGGGAAAAGATCAGCTTTTCTGCTTCTTATCCTGAAAGAGCAGAATGGATTTGAGCAGAGAAGGTTCTGCTTGTACATCCAGCCATCAACTAACACTGCAAATACAAAGGGCTTCTCATCCTCACCTTGGAGCAGGGGTGTGGGAGATGATCTTGTGGGGTCTTCACAGATCATCTTTGATCCAGGTTGTGATAACAAGGTGTTTCTCTTTCTCCTGCTCACCTGCAGGAGCGGATCAGTCAGGTCCTGAAGGATCTGGAAGAGGAGCGTGTGCCCGTTGTGAAGTTGGGTGATGCCAGCATTGCAGCTCCCTTTACCTCCAAGCTCTCTTCCATTCAGTGCAGTAAGTGTCTGGTGGGAGCTCAACACTTGGTGCACATCTTGCAGCCCAGAGCCAATAACTGTATCAAGAGCAGTGTGGGCAGCAGGTCATGGGAGGGGATTCTGCTCCTCTGCTCCACTCTGGTGACACCCCACCATCCAGTTCTGAGGCCCTCAACATCAGAAGGACATGGACCTACTGGAGCCAGTCTAGAGGAGGCCACCAAGGATGATGCGAGGGCTGGAGCAGCTCTGCTGTGAGGACAGGCGGAGAGAGTTGGGGCTGTTCAGCCTGGAGAAGAGAAGGCTCTGGGGAGACCTTCTAGTGGCCTCCCAGTACCTGAAGGGGCTCCAGGAAGGTGGGGAGGGACTTTGGCCAAGGGCAGGGAGTGACAGAACAAGGGGTGATGGCTTGAAAGTGGCAGAGGGGAGATGGAGCTGAGATGTGAGGAAGAAATTCTTTGGTGTGAGGGTGGTGAGACAGTGTCCCAGGTTGGCCAGAGAAGCTGTGGCTGCTCCTCCCTGGAAGTGTTGAAGGCCAGGCTGGATGAGGCTTTGAGCAACCTGGTCTAGTGGAAGGTGTCCCTGCTGCTGGCAGGGGGGTTGGAATGAGATGAGCTTGGGTCCCTTCCAACCCAAACCAGTCTGATCTCCATATGTCCAAGTTCCCCAAGGGGAATAACTCTGGATTTGAAAGAAGCCAAGACAAGAGGGTGTTGGGTGGTGAGAAACACCCCCAGACCCACGGGTTTGCCGTGTCTTTGTGTGGAGCAACCCCATGGGGGTTTCTTGGATGAGGACACAAGGAGTTGAGGGGTCACCTTCCCCTTGTACTGCTTCAGCACAGGAGAGGACTGAGGGACAAAGCCCCAGAACATGTTTTATATCCAAACATTCTTTTCCTCTCACTCCCCAAGTCTGCCACGTGATCAAGCAAGGCCGTTGCACGCTGGTGACAACGCTCCAGATGTTCAAGATCCTGGCCCTCAACGCCCTGATCCTCGCTTACAGCCAGAGCGTCCTCTACTTGGAAGGGGTGAAGTTTAGTGATTTTCAGGCAACTCTGCAAGGTTTGCTGTTGGCTGGTTGCTTCCTTTTCATCTCCAGGTCGAAGGTAAGAGGAGAGAAGTGTGTTGGGACAATGGCTGGTCAATGTCAGTCATCAGAATCATTGAAGGAACATCTCTCTCCAAAATAAAAAGCCATTTATTTTCCTAAATTAGCAATCCTGAAGTGCTGGAGTATGGGGGGATTTTTGTTCCCCTGGATTTGGGAGACTCCAGCTTTGTTCAGGTGCCAGGAGCAGCTGGAAGAGGTGGGAAGGGTGCTGCAGATACACAGTGGAGGCTGTTCCCTGCACCTGTGGGTCTCACATACTCATGAAGTGAAACTTTTCCTGATGTTTCCCCCAGAATCACAAATGAATTTTAGTTGGATTCAGCTGGAAAACAACCTGGAGATGATCAAAACCCACTCAAATCAACCCTGGTTGCTTTTTTTCTCTCCCAGCCTTTGAAGACACTTTCCAAGGAGCGCCCATTGCCAAATATTTTTAACCTCTACACGGTCCTGACGGTGCTGCTGCAGTTCCTCGTGCATTTCCTCAGCCTGGTGTACCTGTACCGCGGCGCCCAGGCACGCAGCCAAGCCAAGTAAGTGGCTTTTTTTCCTTCAACACTGGAATATTTTCTCCAGTTGCTGTTAAACAAGAGGATGGAGAGGAGCTTCCCTCACCACGATGCTCTTTCTTTAGCTCAAAAGCAGCCCTGAGGAGAAGGATTTGCTTTTAAGGTCCCTACCAACCTAAATAATTCTGTGATTCTATGATTCTCTGCATGTTTTATGGAGCATTAGGAGTTTAATGTGTTAGACATATTAAAAAAAAATCACTTTTAAGGTGTACATCAAGTGTGCAGGGCAAGGATGTGATGGAACCAGTGGGACTATGATCTGTGACACGTTGCAGTTTGTGTGTCTACTGTCCCCACGCTGGGAGAGGAAAAGGAAATAGAAATCAAACCAATGAGGTGGATTAGTGGAAAGTTTATAAAGGAAAACACCCCAAAACCCCTAATTTTTTTCCCCCAAAACCCCTAATTTTTTCCCCCAAAACACCCCAAAACCCCTAATTTTTTCCCCCACTCTGAAAAAAGAACCCAGTGACTGCAAAGTCTGCAGCTCAGCTCTGAACCAGCCCAGGAACCAAAGCTGTTGTCACCCAGCAGAACTGAAATCAGCTGGGGTCAGCGGGGCTGTGCCAGGGAAGCTCAATGGCCCTGGTGATTCTGATTCATCTCCAGCTTTCACTGAACCATTGGGGTTGGGAAAAAAAAACCCCTTTCAAAATCATCCAGTCCCAACTGGAACATCCTTGAGGTGGACTCTGGGGTTAACAAAGGCTGGGTGGGAGCCTGGCAGCAGCTGTCCTGTCGGTGACAAATGCAGAATTGTAGTGAAAACAACAAAAAGTGGGTGAGGAGAAGACCCTGGGACTGGAGAAATTCAGGATCCGAGCGATAGTCACCCCAAAAGAGGTGCCTGGCCACAGCACCCCGCTTCCCTCTTTCTGGGTGTCAGGAAGAACAGCCTCAAAACACCACCAGGGAATATTTCTAATCCAGACTTGTTGTTCTCCTTTAGCCAGGAGGAGTTTGTGGATCTGTACAAGGAGTTTGAGCCCAGCCTCGTGAACAGCACCGTCTACATCATGTCGATGGCCATGCAGATGGCCACCTTCGCCATCAACTACAAGGCAAGTTGTGCTGGAGTCCCATCTCCAGCAGCACCAGAGAAGGGACTTTGGAATTCAAATGCAGTTGTGCAGAATCCCAGAATGGCTGTGACTGGAAAAGATCTTGAAGCTCAACAAGTCCAACCATGAACCCAACACTGACCAGTCCCCTATGACTAACCCATGTCCCTCAGCATTGTGTCTACACCACTCTTCAATCCCTCCAGGGATGGGGACTCCACCACTGCCCTGGGCAACCCCTTCCAATGCCTCAGAACCCTTGCAGCAAAGAAATTCTTCCTCACATCCCATCTCAACTGCCCTGGCCACAACTGGAGCCCATTTCCTCTTGTCCTGTCCCTTGGTCCTTGGTTGAACAGACCCACCCCCACCTCTCTCCACCCTCCTCCAAGGGACTTGCACAGAGCCACAAGGTCTCCCCTCAGCCTCCTTTTCTCCAGGCTCAACAAGCCCAGTTCCCTCAGCTGGGAACTCCTAAGTTCTCCATTCCCTTCTCCCCTTGTTCCCCATTCCCTTCTCCTTAAGTTCTCCAGACCCTTCTCTCAAAGTTCTCCAGGTCTTTTTCCTTCTTCCCCAGACCCTTTCCCAGCTCTGTTGCCCTTCTCTGGCCACGCTCCAGCACCTCCATGTCCTTTTTGGAGTGAGGACCCTAAAACTAAACCCAACACTTGAGGTGGAGCCTCCCTGTTCCCATTTCAGGGCTTCAAAGCTCTTCTCTACTCACAAATGACATTTTTTTTTCACTGCTCTGTGGGGAAGAAAATTCTCTTTTTACACCAAACTGGAAGGAACCAAAAGTGTCTCCAACTGTGTCATTAATTTCTCCTCATCCTTTAGTCTCCCCTGAGCTGATGGATTTTCCTGCTGTATTTCAGGGTCATCCTTTCATGGAGAGTCTACGGGAGAACAAACCTTTACTGTGGAGCATCGTCCTCTCAGCTCTCGCCATCGTGGCTCTTCTCACCGGCTCCTCTCCAGAGTTCAACGAACAGTTTGGTTTGGTAGAAATCCCTACAGAGGTGAGCACGTGGAGTTTTTTCTGCTCCTACTGAATTTTACAGGCAGTTTCTAGCTGGGAGAACAGGATCCAGCCAATTCCTGGGGTGGAAACTGAAGGTTTTTAGCAGAATATTCAAAAATATTCTATTATTTTAGCAGAATATTAAAAAATATTCTATTATTTTAGAATAATCATTCCCAGGAGCGTTACTTGAGTAAATGGCTTTGAAGGGAGAGGGCAGGGGAGGAATCCTG